CTTCTTTTTTTTTCCAGCCACCCTAGTTTGCACATATTTGTTCTAACTGAACATTAATTGCTCACATTGGTGTGAGTGAAGAACATGAACTGTAATTATCCTTCTAATTCTCCCTTTCATACCATATTTCTACTACTCCACCTGACACTGAGGTTCTGTAGTGATTACTTCATTAGTGATGAAGAATGGCCTAATCAGTTAAAGCTTTGCTAGAAAACTCTTGTTTGCCAATACTGGAAGGAGGCACCAACTTTTCCCCTTTCTTTCTTTTTGGAGAAAGGTGCATCTGAATGATAGTGACCCAGTGAACATTACAGCATTAATCACCTCCCTTTGTCTCATCTATGCAAAGTAGGATTAGAATTAAAATGATGACTGCTTAATCCCTTTGATTTTCTTTTACTAAATAAATATTAATCTACAAATCAATCAGATCCTGTATTATAACACACACAATATACACTATGAAAGGTTATGTAAATTACACTCAATTTTACAAGCATGCCATTAATGAAAAGAGCCCCCATGCTTTCCCTTTTCACCCCCAAAATCCCTATTAAATTTGGAAGTTCAAGTTAATAATCCTGCTAAATATAAGTCTTAACTATTGAATCCATATTCCTTTTTCCTTTAAAAAATTTGCTGCATCAATCATTTCAGGAATTAATAAATCATATTTACTGTGTTTATTCATATGTCAATACTCCCAATCTGTAAAGCTTTCACCATTTAATCTCTTTAACTTTGACCAAAGCTAGTTTACATTAGATGTTGTTTTAAACTCACATGGAACTAAATTAAATAGAAGCAGCTAGAAAATTAATCCTAATTGTCTTCACAAAAATTCACGCTGCCTGGATCTGTCACCTGTTCTCAAACACTACAAAAGAGATCGTTCGCATTCACAGCTTTTAAGAAAAAACTACAGAAATGTAGCTTTTTTTTCCTTCATTAAACTTAAATCTAATTTAACAAAAATGTAATATTAACGTAAGCAACTATACTGCAAATATTTTAATGATGTAAAGCAGAGTAGCATAATCTTTTAAAGTGTGAATTATCACAAAATTTGTGATTTTACTAAAGTCTGGATGTGCCCTCTGTCAGCACATTTGGAAGGTAAGACTGCACTGCAAAACTAACCAATAATGACTAGGGAGTCAAAGTGGCTCTACAGTATTCACCTAGCCTCTTTGTTGTCTCAAAATCAACTGTGAAATAAACATTACAGTACTTTTTTGTTTGCCTAATAGTAATTTGCTTGCATGCTAAAAATGCTGCAATTATCTTTCTAAAAGTTATCACAAGGCAGGTAGTCAAGAAAACATTCCAGTTCTCGGGGAGATATTACAACTCCAGATGACTTCAGAAAGAGTCTTGATGAAAAAAGAAATACAGAATCGTGCTTTTGAGCACATTTACAAGAGTGCAAGACTCTTCCAATTATGCATCTGGAAAAAAAAAAAAAAAAAAAAAAAAAAACATTTAAATATTGTTTTGTACTAATATCAGCCCAGTCAGTGAAAGTACAGGATTTTTTTAAACAGTTTAGTTATTAATAAAGCATTTGTGTTTTTTCTAGAATATTATCATGGCAAATTTGTTTTGTATTGTCAAGATCAGCTGGGCATTTTGTTTTTAATATGCATAGTCTTTTGTCATTTTTTTTTGCTCTGCAAGTTAATTTGACTGCTGTGCATAAGTGAAGTGAGCAATTCAGTAATTAACTTTTGTGTTTTAAAATGTATGAACTTTAATTAGATTTCATTATAAACAAACAAATGTCAACCATAATTATAAGCTCCTTGGTTTAACCACATATTATCCCTTTTCAAACAAACTTGATGTCAGACAAATTAAAATCAAGCAGCCAGCAATTTTGAGTTGAATTTTACATGATCTGCCAGTAACCTGATTACTTTAACTTCAATATCATTACAGGAAAAGTATTTCAGGAAAAATAATTACAAGAATTCCAACAGGAGACAAGCTTAATTGTATTGATTCAAAAGATGCATGTATATAGGAACCATGCTGAAGGAATAATGTTATCTTAAATCTACAGTTACTATTAAAATTATATTGTCTGGCATGAAAAAGGCAATTTGAGATTGGTGTCTGGAAAAGCAGAGATACAGAACTAACTGAAATAATTATCTTTATGCCATTATACTTTAAGCAACAAAATATCAATGTGGAACAACTTCAAGGCATGAAGGTTTGCAGGTTTATTTACTGACTGGTGTATCTATTAGTACCAGGAACAAGTGGAGCTGTCAGGACATAATGAAGGTAAATGATTAGTTAGCACAGAGACTGAGCTCTTCTTCAATGCAATAAGAGTTAATTAAAGTTTACCACCAAACATCAACCAAAGCAGGATGTTGATCAGGTTTCAGCATTAAGTGCAAACAGACAATGGTTGGCAGCAATTAGTGCAGCTATCAAATGACATGCAATGATAATTATACATTTAAAACAGCTAAAGGGCTTGTGGAAA